GAATGGACCTTCAATCCTCATTTCCAGGCTGAGAGAAGCCAAACCAGGGAAATCTGCTGCAGGAAGCACAGGTGTGAGTTATGGCGAAGGTGTTGCGCTCGGGTTGTGAGTGAGAGACCTGTGTTGCGTTCTGGTCGAAGACGGGCTTGCGGCCACAGATCTCGTTAGCACCATGTCAGATTTAGGCCGCGATTGCCTCCCAGCTGCTGAGCGAGAGAACAGGTCCAAGATATTGGGCTGTTGGCAGTCCCTCAATGTGCTAGGGAGCATTCTCTCCTTCGGCATGAGGTGTAAATGAGCTGAAACAGTCAACTAGGCTGTGTCCCCACAGAGCTCATGTTAAATGCTGCGATTTTTGAAAGGGACAAACACAAGCCAGTTTTAAATCCAATAAAGGAACAATGTAGTGTATTTAACTGAAAACAAAACCACCAAAATCTTTTAGTGACCACATGCACAGTACTTAAACATTTTTCTAGGCCGCATTTTGAATTGGAGAGTTAGAAGTTAGAAGAAAAAAAAATCAATATTAGAGTGTATTTATTTCACTGGAAAAAATCCCCCCAAATATTGCAGTGACTATGTGCACAATGCACAGTATTTAAGAACTTTTACTAAATACTAAACTCCACCCCCACCTTTTAAAAAAAACTAAAAATATAAAAAAAAAGATGAAAATGTAAAAAAAAGCAGGGTGGGGTCCAGCAGCTAAACTGCTACTGAAGTTGTTGCTTAGACATACACAAAAAGGCATCTCTCCCTGTCAACACTCTGTATTCTGTCCCTAATGTGCTTCAGAACTGTCCAACACACAGTGGGGAGGATTTATCACAACTGGAGCAGAGAGAAACGGGAGCAGTTGCCCATGGCAACCAATCAGCTTCCATCTTCTGTTTGTTCAGTTTACAATTTTGAAAATGAAACAGAATAGCTGATTGGTTGCCATGCACAGCTGCTCCAGATTTTCTCTGCTCCAGTTTTGATAAATTCCCCTCCGTGTGTCTATGACTGTGTAAATACGGACATTTTCAGCAATCACCAGCCATACCCATCTCTCTTTGCAAACACGCTGATCTTTCCATAACTGCTCCATGTCTCTTTCAACACACACTAAACAAAGGCTGCTGGGAACCCTGACTTTCATAGAGAGGGTCCTGACACATAAGAAAATCCCTATGATTGACCCTTCTAAGCTACCTGACGACAGTTCAGGAAGTGCAGTCTGGGTAACTAATTTCTATAGTTTACAAATGGCCACGTTACTTTCTTCTTTTCTCAAACTGCAAATTACTTGGGTTTGGGTTGAACTCACGGCCCAAGCTCACTCAAAATTGTGACCCCTCTCTCCTGGCCCAATCAGTGGCAGAAGTTGTAGCAGAGGCATTCCCTGCCCCTTTGTGATGTATCGATGCTGGGCGGGGAATGCGCCTGCCACAACAGATTGGGTCAGGAGCAGTTTAGCAGTCACAGTTTTGAAGGTGCTTGGACAAACTCAGGCAAACTGTATTTGTACCAAGCCCAGGCTGGCCATAAGTTTGACCCAAACCCAAGTCATTTGTCGTTGGAAAAAATAGAAAACGAATGTGGCTGTTCCTTCTGTGTACATCTGCAAAGACCAAAATATACATGCAAAAAAAGAAAAAGAAGAAACAGAGGACACTAGATAGTGTAGATAAAACTACTTTAAAATATAATAAAACATGCACTTAGAAGTGACAAAGAATTGTAATCTTGGTTAACAAGTACCTTCAGGGGTGAGATACTGTCAGCCATTAATAGGCTGAAGAAGGTTAAGAAATTCCTCTGGATCAACAGTGGGTAATTGGGGGCATAGCGTTCTATTTAGGCTTTTCTTTTTCTTTTTTTTTTTCAATATGGAGACATCAGGGGTCTCCAAGGACCCCCCAAAGAAGCTGATGAAGCAGAGATCTGCTTCATCAGCTTCTCTCCAGCGTCTGAAGCTGGAGAGTGACACAAGAATGCGGAAGTGATGTAATATACATCGATTCCACATACTGACAGCGGGGAGGGGACCAGAGGGAGCTCGTGTACCCATCTCCCTCTGATCCCCCGTCACAGAGCCACTATGCTGGTCCCGGGTTCACACCAGGCACAGCGGAGCCCGGGACCAGCATGACAGTGGAAGGGGGGGCCGCGGAGGGGGGCACGGACCCGCAGCTTATACCAACAATCTGCCGACTCTATAGCCAGCGATCTGCTGGCTCTATAGCCGGCAGATCGCTTGTATGTTAACAGGAATCGTTGCCTGTTTTTAAATTTAGGCACTGTACCGCTCATGCGCGGCTGAGAGGACGTTTAAAAATGCCCGCTCAGATCCAGGGAGCTCCCGGCAGGCCATTTTTGTACCGGCCAACCGGGAGGCGGTTAAAATGTATCTAATCTAGCCTGCTGCAGCATTTCACCGGACAGGCAAGTGTAAATGGGCCCTCAGTGACCGTTCTGTCTTTCACATCTGTCTAATACTGGCCTAAGGCCCACTTTGCTTGCTCCATGATTTTTTTGCATATCTGGCAAGCTGTCAAAGCACATGCCTGATTTCTCCAGAAAGATAAGGTTGACACACTGATATCAAAGGTATGCAAAGATGTCTCCTACTATAAATCATGCAATATCAGCTCACAGTAAAGTACACATGTGATGTATGTCTAAATTACTGGATAGACAAGTATATTAGATTATGTAAGCAATGTCATGGATGTATTTCAATTTGCAGTCTGAGCAAACAGAATGATTGTGAATATTAATATTATTAATAATAATTAAACTAGACCTGTTAAATGTGGTAAATGTAGTGTTGTAGTCACAAAAATTTGGGAAGAGCAATTGCACCTACACTATATTGCCAAAAGTATTGGGATACCCCTCCAAAACATTGGATTCAGGTGTTCCAATGGCCACATGTATAAAATCAAGAACCTAGGCATACAGACTGCTTCTACAAACATTTGTTAAAGAATGGGTTGCTCTCAGGAGTCGGTGAATTCAAGTGTGGTACCGTGATAGGTTGCCACCTGTGCAATAAGTCCATCCGTGAAATTTCCTTGCTACTAAATATTCCACGATCAACTGTTAGTGGTATTACAACAAAGTGGAAGCAACTGGGAACAACCGCAACTCAGCCACAAAGTGGTAGGCCACGTAAAATGACAGAGCGGGGTCAGCGCATGCTGAAGTGCTCAGTGCGCAGAAGTCGCCAACTGTCTGCAGAGTCAATAGCTACAGACCTCCAAACTTTGTGTGGCCTTCAGATTGGCACAACAACAGTGCGTAGAGAGCTTCATGGAATGGGTTTCTATGGCCGAGCAGCTGCATCCAAGCCTTATATCACCAAGTGCAATGCAAAGCGTAGGATGCAGTGGTGTAAAGCAGCTATAGAGGACTACAAATCCCAGCAATACATTGTAAAGCACTGCAGAATAATGCTATCAGCTCTAGAGGACTACAAATCCCAGCAATACTTTTTACAGCAATGCAGGATAATATGAAGCTACATATTCTTTGTTACTCCGGGTTCACGGCCTAATATCTTCAGGGTCTCAGGAGAGCTGTGTGGGGTTTAGGGGGGCTGTGCAGGCTCTCAGGAGACTGTTCAGGTTCTCAGGTGGACAGTGTGGCTCTATGAGGGCCAGTGCGGGCTCTAGGGCAGTCAGTGCAGACTCCAGGCAGTCAGTGCAGACTCCAGGTGGTCAGTGCGGACTCTCAGACGGTCAGTGCGGACTCTCAGACGGTCAGTGCGGACTCTCAGGCGGTCAGTGCGGGCTCTCAGGCAGTCAGTGCGGGCTCTCAGGTGGTCAGTGCGGGCTTTCAGGTGGTCAGTGCGGGCTCCAGGTGGTCAGTGAGGGATCCTGGTGTTTAGTGAGGGCTCAAAGTGGTCAGTGAGGGCTCCAGGTGGTCAGTATGGGCTCCAGGTGGTCATCTCAGGCGGTCAGTGCGGGCTCTCAGGCGGTCAGTGCGGGCTTTCAGGTGGTCAGTGCGGGCTCCAAGTGGTCAGTGAGGGCTCCAGGTGGTCAGTATGGGCTCCAGGTGGTCAATGCGGGCTCTCAGGTGGTCAGTGCTGGCTCCAGGCAGTCAGTGTGGGCTCCAGGAGGTCAGTGCAGGCTCCAGGTGGTCAGTGCAGGCTCCAGGGAGGTCATTGCAGGCTCCAGCCGGTCAGTGCGGGCTTTCAGGCGGTCAGTGTGGGATCCAGGCGGTCAGTGCGGGTTCTAGGCAGTCAGTGCTGGCTCCATGAGGTCAGTGTGGGCTCCAGGGGGGTCAGTATTGGCTCCAGGGGGGTCAGAGAGACTGGTGACTGCAGCCGCAGCAGATGCGGCTCTCTGCTCAAGCATTTCAGAGGGCCCTCTGATATGCCTGAATAGAGGGCCTCTGCTGCATAGTCAGCTCAGCCCGGCCGTGATGCGGGTCCGCTCGGCCAGGCCGCGATGTGGGTCAGCTCG